GATGTGGAATTGGAAAGGTGCCTGGGCACATACCAGTTGTACAGTCAGCAGCCTGACCTTGAATAAAACTGAGATGCACCCAACCATCTCATCAATTAGCTGCCATTAGCCACAGGAAATTATGCAAATGCTGTGGTAGGTAGGTAGGTAGGTAGGTAGGCAGGCAGGCAGGCAGGCAGGCAGGCAGGCAGTCTTTATTTTCTTGCATTTTGCTAAATCCAGTTTGCATCCTCATTTCACCATTTGCTTCTCGCTGGCTGCAGGTTGGATTTCTCCTCCCTTGCATGGATATTAGTGTCATTTTCTGTTTGAATTTTTCCTAATGTACATATTACTCCTATTAACTTAAAAGTGTGCTTGTGTGTACTTTTCAATGTGGTTTTAGTGGTTCACATTTTAAAATGTACGTATACGTAGTTCCCTGCATTTTATTTATGTGAAATTCACTGCAAATTTCACACATGCTTGGATTTCTTAGGCAAGGCTCTCTTTCTCACACACTTGGGAGTGTTAAAAAAAGCATACTTCTGCTGAGAATTTGAATGTTATTAAAATTCATTTTCATCCCCAACAACTCCAAAACACATGCACACACACACACATCATTTGGATAAGTGAAAGGATGGCAAAGACTGTGGGCAAGGAATTAAGGATTTTGCTATATATTTAGAATGCAAATATATTGGGACTCAGTGGCAGCTGGTGTTTCCTGTGGTTGATAGAACGAAAGGTACAGCAGCCGATGATTGCCAGAACCAAAGGTAAATATGTGTACACAAACAGACACATACATACACATGCACATTGATGGAGGCAGGCATATATTAACACAGACACACAGATGCAGGTAAACCTGCATTTATTTGCTCACTCTGCTTCACTCCCACCAATTCATTTATGCTAAAACTAAGCATGCGATCAGATAGACATTTGTCTCACAGTTTGGTCCACGCAAGGGCTGGGCTGCTTTGTTCCTTTTTCCCATTCCTGTATGCCACTGTAAAACAGTGCACACCAACCAATGTCTATTGTGAAGTGCCTCCAGCAAAGGGGCAGCAAACAGTCATATGACTGAGAATGTTCACTGAGAATCTTTTTCACAGATAAACCAGTCATATGGTTTGATCCCAGCTATCACACAAACTGGAAGCAAACCAAAATGAAGCAATCCTACCTGTACCTTTGGGCCCCCTGTCAGGGGCTACTGTTTGTTTGTGTTTTTACTGTGAATCATTTCATTTTGTTCTGGTTCCAGCCTGTGTAATTGCTGGGACTGAACCAAAGAGGCTGCCTCACTAACCCTTTGCTGCAGCCACTTAACAGTCTTGAGAAATGGGAAACTTCCTGGCAGCTCACCTGCAGAGGGGATAGAAAAGGAAGTTTTGCATTTCTTTTTAATTATTGGTATCATATCAAATTGCTTGGAAAGGGTTTTTTTCTTAAAGCTCTTTCATTGCTCATGTTAGTTAGCAAAAATTCGAAATAAATTGGTAACTTCCTCTCTTCCCCTTCATAGGTGAGCAGAAAGGGAGTTTTCCATTTCTCAAGATAGTTAAGAGGCTTCAGCAAACCACAAAGGAAGAGGAGACATGAGGGGGGATTTTTGCTACTTTTGTTTTCTTTCCCTTTAAAAGGAAAAACCAGCCTAGATCATGCTAAACAAGATCATGCTAAACTTAAGGTGTAATGTGGTTGAACCTTGCATTTGGATGACTAATCCGATCTCAAAGTGACCCAGTTTATCATGATATTACTGATTGCAGGCTGGGATAACTGGGCCATTTGGTTGCACCCTAACCTGCGATGCACCAGTTCTCACTGCATTTACTTTGTTCTCTCTCTCTGTCTCTGTCTCTCTCTCTCTCTGTGTGTGTGTGTGTGAGAGAGAGAGAGAGAGAGAGAGAGAGAGAGAGAGAGAGAGAGAGAGAGAGAGAGAGAGAGAGAGAGAGAGAGAGAGAAGTGAATGGGATAGTGGGCCACATTTGTGTGAGTGCCTAATGCTCCTTGGAGTCATCCCAGCAGAATGCTCCAGAAGTCTGACTGAAGTTGTTGTTTAGTTGTTAAGTCATGTCTGACTCTTCGTGACCCCATGGACCAAAGCACGCCAGGCCCTCCTGTCTTCCACTGCCTCCCGGAGTTGGCTCAAATTCATTCTGGTAGCTTCGACGACACTGTCCAACCATCTCGTCCTCTGTCGTCCCCTTCTCCTCTTGCCTTCACACTTTCCCAACATCAGGGTCTTTTCCAGGGAGTCTTCTCTTCTCATCAGATGGCCAAAATATTGGAGCCTCTTTGTTCTCCTTGCAGTCCAGGGGACTCTCAAGAGTCTCCTCCAGCTGACAGAAGTATACTCTCCCAAAACTCTCTACTTTAAAAGAAGCAGAAACATGGGGAGAGGGAGAAGCAGAAAATAGTTGCCGGTAATGGATGTGATAACAATCCCAGTATAGCAATCCCAGTGTCAAAATGCTGATTCAGGAAGCTGTTGAAAATTAATTAGATTAGTTTGTGCCAAGCACAAAAGATAATAAATTGTAGCAGAATATAAAATAACTAAGAAGCAATATCTGTTATTCTTCTGAACTAGAATGGGGATGGATATAAAAATGAATTGCAATATTCATTGAATATCGCTGATTCACCCTGACGAATACAAAGGGATGAATATACCCTTTATATTCTTCCATTCATCAGCTTCCCTCTCTGCCTATGTCCCTGTGAATCAGCTGTTCCTCAGGGGCACAGGAAGAGAAGGAAGGTTAGGCTGCCAGAAGGAAAACCTGGCAGCTGTTTGCAAAGATGGTGGTGGTGGGGGTTCCCTTTAGGCAGCCAAGCTTTCCCTGTCTTTCTATGGCCCACCAAACAGCTGATTGGCAGGTGCATAGACAGACAGGGCAAGCCTGGCTGCCAGAAGGGAATCCCTCCCTGCTGTTTGCAAAAGGGGGGTATTCTCTTTGGGCAGGCAGCCAAACCCTGTCTGTCTGTGCCTCCACAGATCAGCTGATCTGCAGGGGCATAGAGACAGGCAGGGCAAAGCTGCCTGAAGGGAATCCCCCCCTCCACACACATACTGTCTTTGCTGATGAGCCTGGGGGTTCCCTTCAGATCCACAGAAGCATAGACAGACAGGGCATCCCCCCCCCAGTCTGCAAAGAGGATTGCCCTATTGTATATCAGCTGTTCAGTGGGTGCATAGACAGACATGGCATGTCTGGCTACCCAAAGGAAAGTCCCCCCCCGCCGCCGCTATTTGCAACAGAATAGAAGCCAGGCTGCCAGAACAGAAACCATCATTCCAGCAGCCTAGCTTCTGTTCTGCCAGTGGCAGCAGCAGGGATGCGGCAGCAGGACAAGTTAGGGAAGTGACGGGGGCAGTGGAAAGGTGGTGGGGACAGCCCATGGGCTGTCTTAAAAAAAGACCCAACAAACCAATGCACCAGTTTGTGGCTCGTCAGTTCACCGCAGGGAAATTTGTGGTTCGTCAACCTTGATGAACCATGATCCAAGGTGAATTGCCATTTTGGTGGTTCGTCCCCATTCCTATTCTGAACTCAAAATAAAGAACAGCATGTTTATTAGAATTGGTCACTTAATATGGATTTAAATTCTTATAAACGTTATGACAAAGAGAGAGGCAAAGTGCAGTCCTGTAGATGCTGCTGGACTGCATCTCCCAGCATTCCTCATCATGGACTGTGCTGGCTATGGCTGCTAGGAGTTGCAATCCCAACATCATCTGGAGGACCGCACTATGTTCACCTTGTTGTAACATAATGGCTGAAATCCAGTAGCAGGTTGCAACTAAATCCCCACCAATTTAACTTTTAGATTCCATCCATTGAATTCAAAGTGCTCGTTCTAACCTATAAAGCCCTAAACAGATTGGTCCCAAGCTATCTCAAGGACCTCATCTCCCTTTATGAGCCTGCTTGTGTTTTAGGGTCATCAGGAGAGGTCTTCTTCTTGGTCTCACTACCTTCACAGATGCGTTTGGTGGGGACACAGGAGAGGGCCTTCTCTGCTGCTGCTCCCAGTTTCGGAACTTCCTCCTACAGGAGGCTCGGCTGGCCCCCTCTTTGCTGTCCTTTCACAAGCAGTCAGATTTTTCTTTTCAGGCAAGCTGTCCCTGAGTGACTGGCTACCTGAGTGGGGTTCTTAAATGGATTCTTGCACCTTTGCTTTGAATGTGTTTCCGTGTTGCTTCTGTTTTTAAGTATGGTATTTGTTTGATCCCTTTTATTATTTGTATGCTCACTGTTGTTTACTTTAATATTATCTTTTAATGATTCAGTCCTTTTAAGGAGAAAGGCTGGGTGAAAATATTTAAAATATATAAATATAGTGCAAATGTTTCATTCATATGCATGCTTATTCAAAAGTGAGCCCCACTAAGTTCAATGTGGTTTTACTTCCAGCTAAATACTGTATATAGAGAATTATCCAGCCTTAGGCAGCAACCCTGTGAAAACGTACTTAGGACCATGTTTTTTAAGTCAGTAGGGCTTATTTCCGAGTAGACATGAGTGCATAAGACTGAGCTATTGTTCTCCTTTAGGGGGGAAAAAGCCTTGATAAAAATTAGACTCTCATAATGAAAGTACCTTACGTCATCTTCCCTTTCATTTGTCTGCAATATACTCAACTTTGTGAAATAATCACAGGCTCCCAAACTGTTCAGTTCTTGATCTCTGTACGGTAGAAGAGAGAGTGCTCCTCCACTGAAGTGATGTAAAGCTATTCAATTATATACAGTACGTGACCCTTGCTACCCCAATGATGGCTGCCATTTTTCACCAAAAGAAAGAAAGAAAGGCCAGAATTAGCCTGCAAATTTCAGGCAACATTTATTGGTAGCAGGAGTCTGGAACATCTTTCAAACCATGAATAGTTCATCAAAATATGTGTGGTTTCAAATAAAACCTTGAAGGCATTTTAAACTAGTTTCCCCCTCATCTACATTTCATACAAAAACTATCAAATCTGACCCCTATGGTGTTTTGTTTTTTACAAAAAAGGTGGCATTTTAGCAGAAAGCTTGTTTCTATGTACCATCAAAACTGTTTCTAGTTTTGGCAGAGCAATTTATTATTAGTGCAATATTTATGTTGGGTGCCTAACTTTACACATTTCTCTCTGAAGGTAGTACGAACTCCAGTTCATGGTCACTAGTGAAAATGGAGTTGGCGTGACCTGCAAGAAATTTGTGTGTGATTTCCTGTGAAATGAGCAGAAACCTGGTGCTCTTGTTCAAGTCTCCTCCATATAGACATGATCGTGTTTCTCAACATTTGGCCCGTCCGTTATTTTGGACTTGAACTCTCCAAATCCCTCACTATTTGCTATGTGACCTGGGGATTCTGGGAGTTGACATCCAAAAGCATTTGTTGGGAGCCATTGTAGGGCATACCTCTAATAGTAGATCATGATGTTCAATATGCAAAGGGAAGGAATCCTGATGCCAGATTGCAGACCTGTTTGTGTTCCCGTGTAAAGCTGTGTTGACTCAAGATGTTCCCAAATTCTGTCTACTTTTAACATGTTGTAAAACATTTCAAGCACCTCCTCGCTCATTTTACAGGAAGTGTAGGCATTTCTTTATATAACACCAGTGTTTTGCCTCATGTCAAGAAAAATTTAGAAATGAAACAAGAGTCTTGTGGAATCTTGAGGAGCATTAGGTTATGTATGGCATAGGCATCCATAGACAGTAGGCCAGAGTCCATGCCCAATAGAACTTTACAGGGTGGAACAAGACTTTGTGTTGTTTTTTCTACAACAGACTAACACAAACATATCTATGGCCCTAGAAATGTTCATGGGCTTCCTTCTATTGAACTGGATGATTGATATTGTCAGTACTGTCTACAGTGAATGGCAGAGGATCTCCAGGAAATTCAGACTGTGGTTTCTTTCAATCTGCACCAGAGACATCAAAGATTGAACCAGGACCTTTTGCATGCATTGCAAGTAGACTAGCAATGAGCAAAAGACCCTCCCTTGGTTGTTGACAAACAGCAGCAGAGTGGAGTCAGGGCTCGGACGCTTGGTGTCCCAGGGTGTTCTGACTAACAGGGCTTATGACTTCATCCACTGTCATTACATTCAGGCTTCGCTGCTGCTTCCAAACTTTGGTGGAATCCTCATAATAGCTGGGAGCTAAATGGATTTTCCCCAGGAACAATGTATTGCTTCAAGTCATCCCTGTTGTAACACAAAGCATTTGTGGGTGTTTTGGTTTGGAATGGGCAATTAAAAGCCACTAAATTTGCAAAGGTCTACTCCTCATTTGTACACCTGGACTGACCCTATCGCCTTTAGACTCTCCTGGAGAGAGTACTACCCAGTTTCCTTTGTTCTATTTAAGTTTTTGATTGTTCTATAACTCTGGATGATACAAATGGTTCATTCAAAAACAAAAGTCAATCCCACAGTTAGAAAATAACATATGACCAGGAGGAACAATAGCTTAGTGACCAAGTCCATGCCTAAGATAAGTGGTTCTCAACATTGGGTCTCCATATGTTCTTGGACTACAACTCCCAGAAATCTTGTCCGTATAACTAATAGCGATGACTTCTAGCAGCGTTAGTTGAAGAACAACAGCAAGGTTGGGAACCACTGCTTTAGATACATAATGTTCCACATTCAACTCATGGCATCAAACAGAAGATGAAGAAAATGATTACTTTTTGAGAACTTGGAGAAGAGCTACCAATAGAGCAGAAAAGATAGATTCAGATGTGGGGGGGAACCCCTTGACCTGGTATAAAGAAGCTCCCTATTGTTTTCAATTCTGCACAGAGCTTGGAACACCCACTCAGATCTGTGGGATTCTCAAGAGTTGTAACCTAAATAATTTTCTGAGAGGTAATCATGTCGGTTTCAGAAACAAAAACAAAATGCAATGTGGTACCTTTTAAGACTAACAAATTAATTTCCATGTGAGTTTTCAGAGACTGTGATCTTCAAAACATCATAATGGCTCAAGGATGGTAACCCAAGAGTCTGTACTGAAATAAAGGTTAATCTCAAAAGTTCCATAATACTTTGGGTTATTTTCATTCAAGGAGGACGTTTTCCAAACCCTAAACCTGACATTTAAAAATACTGAAACCTTTCTCACTTTTCAGGTTTAAAAAGAAAGACTAAATTTAAAACACATGTTGTCCTCCAGCATGATTTTGAAAACCATGTCCTACAGTGCTTTAGAAAAAACCGCCATAAATTCCAAACTGCCAGCTGAGGAGCTTGAAATCAAAATGCATGCTACAGCTATTTCCATTAAGAAGCTAATCTGGGCTCTACATCATCAGCCATGTGAATTTAGGACATTAATAACATTACATAAAATTTGGAACTACCCACAAGAACTTGATGCACAGCCTTGAAGATGATTTATCTTTGAAATCTTGGCTTGTTGGTTTATCTTCTTAATGGTCAGTTAAAGGTATCACCTGTTCCTGCAATCGGTATTTTTTCCACGACGATACGGCCTTCTCCTGAGTTTGCCCTCCTATACATACCCTTCCCTGGGAATGAGTCCTATAAGTGGGTCTTATTTCTGAGTCAACATGTATAAGGTGGTGCTGCAATTCATTTATAATTAAGAGACTTGTGTAAGGCATCAGTGTGCCAAAGGCTGTGCTCCACCACACAGGGAACATGGGACTTCTCATCTACAGTGCACACAAAAAAGAGAAATGCAAGGAGTTATGGAGAAATCAGGTTGACAGCTTAGCCAAGGCAAAGCTTTGAAAAGGTTTGGACACAGATCAGCGATGAGACTGATGAGGCCCTCCAAATATATTCCAATCAGCTTTAGCTGGTAAAGCCAATGATGGGGGATAACAGCAGCTGCAGTCAAAAAGCATATCAACAGCAATTTGGTCCTTACCCCTATACTTTCAATAGTGCTTTCATTCAGCTAGTGTTGAGCGTCACATGCCTGACATTTCATTGCCCATGATATATGGACAGCTGTCCTACTAACTAGGTCTGGCAAACAGAGTTTTCAAAAATCTGTACTTGACCAGATCTGTGTAGGAGGGGGGGGAAGGGTGTGTGTTTGGTTCCATGTGCTTGCATATGTATGTATATGTCATGTACACCTGAAGAATGCTTCCATCACAATACTTCCAACAATCCCCGTTTTTCAAATAATATCTATTTGTTTCCAGCCTGGAGCACCGGGGGGGGGGGGGGAGAGCAAGAGGTCCAGGCACAAGAAAGGTCATAGAGATTGTGAAAGGAAAGAGAGAAAAAATGGGCTGATCAGAAGTAACATTCAGGATAGGGGACATGGATATAAAAGCCATAAGAAATCAGAGAGAAGATTCAGACACACAAAGGTGGTGGTGGATTCCAATGCTAAATGTTATTAAATATGTAAACAAGGACAGGAAACTGCTAGAGGATGTAATTTAGCCTTTAAAATTCAATGGACTCAATTCACTCTGCTGTTACAGACAATCACAGACTAAGAATACCCTTGGAAGGCTTTTTCCAGAATGTATCCTAAAGCTTTTGTAAACATTGCACAACTTGCAGCCATGTCCTTATCTCTTGGCAACAAACAGAGGGCAGGACTAGCCTTGTAGCTTGATGATAACCTTGCCATGAGAGGAGAGAATCCTGACAGAAAAGCTGGAGGCATGTGGTAGCACATTTGTCAAGGTGAGCATATAGCCTCAAGACAAAATGTTAAAGAAAAGCAGTTTTTAAAAGGTACTGCTCCTTCAGAGTAAGTGCAGGGAGGTAGGAGGGAGAGCTGTGATCTGGCCTCAGCTGACATCAAAGGTACTGTCCAAAAGGCACTCAACACAGTAGCAGAACAGATTTTTAACTTCACTCCAAATGACCCAGAACAGCAGGACTGGGTAGGTGAGAGCAATTATGACTCCCCATGATTTTCCAATGATTGCTATAGGGTCATTTGCCAATAAGAGCTCTCTGGAATCAGGCTGAAGATCTATCTACTTCAAAACAGCTCATACAACAGTCACCCAGTTGCCTCTGGGAAGCCTGCCAGCAGGACATGAAGGCAACTAAACCCTCTGTCTTGCATTCCCCAGCAAATGAAATACAGAAGCAAACTGTTTAGGATACTCAAGGTGATAGACTGTCATCCTATTCAGTGTCTCCTGATGAACCCCACTGATTTATCGAATCTCATTTTAAAGCTGTCCCATCTGGCAGCTATCCCTACATCCTATATGGCAGGTGTTCCACCATTTTACTATGTATTGTGTGAAGAAGTACATCCTTTTATCTATCTTAAATCTCTCCCTCCCACCCCGCCCCCATTCACTGGATGACTCCAAGTTTTAACACAATGGGGCAGGGAGAAGCATGCCACCCTGTCTGTTTTCTCTAGACCATTATTATTTCATACACCTCTACCTTGTCTTTCCTTCACTTTTTCCTAGGCCACAGAACCTATGAAATGGTAACTTTTCCTCCTAAGGGAAGCTGCCCTACTGCCCTGAACGCTTTGGCTGCCTCTTTCTGATGATTCCACCAGAAGGAGCATGCATGCTGAAATAACACAATATTATTGTTCCTGGGAAGGGAATCCTGTCTGGCACAGTCCTCTGAGAGTAGACTATTTGTGAGCATTTGAAATCAGCAAACAATATGAAATCAATTCAACATCAGTCAAGCCTTCACAGCATGACCTCAGACCGAATAGACTGTGTTTGCCCTGGAGACACATATCTGCCTCTGTAGCCTTCAACAAGTTGCTTTCAGATTTTCTGCCAGTGCAAAGTGCATAGAATATGTGATCCTCCAGCTCAGTGAGCAAACTTGGGGAGAGGCCAAGAGTATCTTATTGTGCTGAGCTTTGAGAGAAAATATCTGGGAATGAATATTCCTTTGGAGAAGTCCAGAAGAGCAAAGAGCAGAGCAGCTCTCTGGTTCAAATCGTACCCAATGATTCCACTTTCAAATGAACACAGAATAATCTGTGCAGCAATGGCTAGTGGCAGTAACACTGAGAGAGGGGAGAATCTGGATTCAGAACAGATTTCTTCTGCCCAAAACCTTACTTGATGAGGTGTGTCTGTGTTAGAGTAGTGCTCCCCAACCTTGGGCCTCCAGATGTCCTTGGACTTCAACTCCCAGAAATCCTGGCCAGCAGAGGTGGCGGTGAAGGCTTCTGGGAGTTGTAGTTGAAGAACATCTGGAGGCCCAAGGTTGGGGACCACTGTGTTAGAGGGTGAGTCGTACATCCTAAATACACAGAGTGTCCCAAGCTTCTGGTGTTTAGTTGGAATCAGCAGACATGAAATTGCAAGAACAGATCTGAACTGTAAGGACTGCACCAGTAGTTTGGGAAAGAATAGCTTTCAGCTCAGCAGCAGCACTTAACTTCATCTATCAGTCCCCTATACTCAGTTCCTCTTGCCTTACACCTGAATGGCTACAGATTGCCAGAAGAAGCTTTCGTTCTGCCATTTGCTTGCTGACAGATGAAGAAGCACTCCAACTATTGGAGCAAAATCCAAAAGCAGTCGTCTCTTGTATATCCACCATGTGACAGTGCCTCCATTTTTAAAAGGAAATCCAAAGTTGCTTGCCAGACACTACTGTCAGCACCAGAGTAGGGACAGGAGAGCACGATGGTGGTAGAAACAGAAACTGGAACCTTCCTCCCCAAGGAAAATCACTTCCCCTACAAACATATATGGGAGAAATCTGTAATGCTGTGTTAAAATAGTCTGCTTTATTGACTAGAAGATATAAAAATAGTGCTTATAAGGAGATGTTCTACCCAACTGTTCAGCTAGGTGAGAGGTCAAGCTTGCAGGGAGGAGAGAAGACAGAAGTGGTAAATTTTCTCAGCATATCCAGAAGTCTCCCATCAGAGCATCCCTTCTTCTGTGAAGCCAGCAAGGAAACATGCTCCCATTTCCCAATCAAAGTGGGTGTATACGTATGTGTTCCGTTACCATTATTTCAGTGTTTTTTTTTAATTCTGCCCTTTGCAACTCTTTAAAACAAAACAACACCCTCAACAATTTGCTGAATCTGTTGTCTTATGTGCCAGGAAGCTGGAACCAACTTATAGAGATCACAACAGGGCTTTCAAGGTGAGATATTTAAGGAGTGGTTTTATCAGTCCTCCCCGACTCCTCTGCCCCAGTGAAGATCCATGGCCAAGTGGGGATTCAAGCCCAGGTCTCCTGAATCCTAGTCAATCACCCCATCCATTACACCCCACTGTTCCAAGGCTTGTGCCTGGGGTACAGATCAGCACTATGGTGCTCTGAATGGGAAGTTCATTTGTACATCAGATGATCCTCACTGGAAGTGTGTGATACCTAGGAACAAAACACTGGACATGCCGACAGCTTACGGCACTAGATGCCAGAAGCCAAGAAGTTAGCAACTATCTTGCAACAAGACAAAAGACTGAGATGGGGCCCGGGATGGTGGTGGAGCTGGCGGGGAAGGCATTAAAATGGCTCCAGAGGGTTTCCGTCAACCCAGGGAAACCTGGCAGGAGCAGGCTTCAGGGCCTGGGGGGTTAAACAGAAGCAGCACTGCCACAAAACCAATGCCTCTTGCACGGAACACCACAGATATGCATGCACACAGGAAACATAGGCCAAATGCAGGCACACATGCGCAAACACACACACACACACACATACATACATACACACAGACAGCCCATTTTTCCTGGGCGCAGCTGAGCGAAGAACATTCATACACAGAAAGATTACAAAAAGACGATCCTTCAGATAAGGCCCTCTCTCCTCCGCTGCTCAGCCCCATCTCTCCTCCCAGACTTCCAGAGGCTTCTTGGCAAAGAACGGCAGTGTGGCTTGAACTCTGGGAGGAGAGGAGGAGGGAATGGCTCCCAATACAAATCAAATGGTAGCTTAGCAGACGGAGGTGGCAGTGTGTCCAAGAGGCAGAAGGCCTAAGGCAAGCCTCTCAACAGAGCAGATGGGGGGAAAACCAAGCTATAACACTCCACTGCCATTTTTTTTTTTTTGGCGTACATGGGTGACGGGAAAGAGGGCAACCTACTGCCTCTCAGGCATCTCCCCTCCCACACCATCTCAGCCAAAGCAAGGCAAGCCTGCCTTACAATGGGGAGAGGAAAGTCACATCTGCCACAGTTAACTGCACTCCTGGATGGCAGCGCCCTCCCATATTTCACAGTCTTGGCATGGTCTCTCTAGGGAAGGTTAAAAGGGCAGGGTCAAGACTGCGCATGTGAGATCCATTGGCTGTCCATAGGGCGACGCAGCAGTTCCTCCACATGTCGGGCGACATCCATTGACTCATCCAAATCAAAGTCTCCTTCTGGGTCCAGCACAGAATCAGGGCTGAGAAAGAGGGAGAAAAAGAGACTTTGAATCTCAACTGGTCTCTAAGCAAAAGCCCCCTCTTTCTTTTTTTGCATTATAAGAAGTAATTTTCTGGGCTCCTGCCTCTGACACTGATGTCCAAAATGGAGAATCTTACTGTACTTGATAAGACATAATAAGAGCTTCTGTAAAGGGACTGCAGGGCTGTTCTAAATGGTACACAAGTTCATTTAAAAAGACCAAGTTCTGCACTGACTTTTCCCCTGCCTTTCTGTTTCTTTTGTTTATCTTTTACTCTGTTGAAATGTTGGTTTATCTTCTCCCAGGACTTTTTCCTAGGCTAAAATTAGCCCAATGGTGCTTTCAATGGCAAGTTTCATTTCTGCCTCCGAGGCTCATCGCTGGAAGCCTTTAATCAGCACTTTAGTTGGCTTTAAAATTAACTTTAACCAAGAGTCTTAATCAAGGAAAGGCTTTCCTTATTTCCCCAAAACGTTTCTTTAAAAGAAACAAACAAAACCGGACATTCAGTAGCATTTTTTTAAAAAGAGTATTTCTGATTAAGCCTTCCTTATGTGAAGGTCCACACAGTTGCAAAACTATCACTTGTGTTTTTAGGTCTTCACAATGTTTATGTTAAATCCTGCATTTCTGGATTTTGGTCTTTCCCAAGGTAACTGAGGGAAGATTTCTTAGCAAGGGGGCTCAGAAACTCTCCATGAAGCTGGACATACCAAGGCATTGCACAAAGTTGCATCTTGACTGGGGGGAGTCTATCAATTCCTTTAATGCACACTCTTATAAAGAAACAGCCTGCCAGGATGGAAAGAACTCCTTCCTCCCAGTTCACTATTGGAGAACTTTAAAACTCAGTTCACCCCTCTCTCTCAATGCAAGATGGTACAACTTTATTTCTGTCTCATGCATTAGCAGTAATGAATAAGTGGTAGGAATCAAAAGTATCAGTGCAATGAGATTTCTGGCAGGTTTTTTTCTACATCAGTCCTCAGACAGCCTAGTCCAATCATCTTTGGGTTAAGGTAACAGGAAATGGAGAACTCTTGGTTCAGACCTAGAGAATGGGAGCTTGGACTTTGGAAGTTAAACAAATCATAGAATCACAAAATAATTGAGTTGGAAGGGGCCTATAAGGCCATCAAGTCCAACCCCCAGATATGTGACAGATGGCTGTCCAAGTTTCTTATCAAAGGGTTTGCTTAAGACAAACGTGGGCAGCATGTGGCCCTGAGATCCGTTTGGTGTGGTTTACTATGGAAGCCCAGTTCCTCAAATGCTCCGCAAACATGCTTCCCAGCTGAAGTCAGCAGGATTGTGATGGGGAGGAGGGGTGTGGCCAGATACCATCCTCTCCACATAAATCAGGCTCTTGACTGTGCTTGGCAAACTGCAAGGTAAATGGGGAGGACACAGCATGTTGAGGGACATTCCCATTCTCTCTTTCCTCTGCCTAAATCATGTTCCCTGCAGCCGAGGAAGTAACTGCTTGGTGATCATAATTTATGGGGAGGGTGGTGGACACTCAGAACCCCACCTGTCACCTTCTTCATTTAATTATGTCCCCAGTGATTTGTGCGGGGAAAAGATGAGAAGTGTTCTGGTGAATATGCTCCTTATATGTTTCTTGCATAAATCAACTGGGGGCATGATGTGATCTCAACATGCAGGAGAGAGAAACTGAAACCTTTCTCACCCATCCACCCATACTCAGTTTGGGTCTTTCCAGGATCTGACCAAGATTTCCATCCTATGCTATTCCCACAATTGATGCATGGCCCCAACCCACTGCCCAAGGACATGCAGCCCTTAAAGGCAACAATGTTTTTTGGCTTAAGAGCAGATGAGGAGCAGTGAGTGGAAGGTTACGGTCAGAGATGACAGCCTTTTGGCAAAACAGCTATAATGGATGGGAAACCTGCTGTAGAAAATACATTTATGCATTGCTTCATTAATTCACGTCACCAGCACAGCAATAATCAAGAGGATAGAGAGAAACCTGAACTTACTGTAAGAGTAGCTTAGCTTATCAAGCTGATAACATCCTGACTTGGCCAGACAAACTATTTGTGCCATTCAGCACATAGCACTGCCTGTTGGAAGGAGGTAGCTAGCTGCTGTCTTATTTCCCTCCTGGTCAGTTTCAACATAAGGAGGCTAAGCTATAAAGAGTCTTGGTTGCCTTGTTCAAGGAAGGGAGGCTTAGTCATCCATGCATCTCCTGGCCTCAAGGATCATGTCCAGCTGGATGAAGGGAGGGGGTCTGGCTCCCTAGGATTTGAGGGTGTCTATGTGTTTCCTTTTGCTATACTGTAGTATGCTGAATTTTTATCAACCACCTATACAAAAAAAATTCAGGCACCAATGATTTTCTGTCCTCATCAGGTCTCGAAGAATGTAAGTTCACTGGGGTCCTTGATGATTCAAAAGCCCCAATTAGAATAGAAGCTGAGCCTGCTCCAATAGTAAAGAACGTCCATTACTTACTTCTGTGGATACATGTTGTAATGGGATGGAGGGCACACAGCTGGGGATGAAGCTTGCTCCATGTAGGTTGCCCCACTACCTGCAGAGTCACCTGATGTGGTTGCAAACCTGTAACAGATGGGGCAAATTAGAATAGGGTCTCCAAGGCTCAGAGATAATCCTTTCGTCTGGCCTCCTGAATCCAGCATGACAGCACTTGATGTAAGCAAGTAAGAACTACTTTCTTTCTGCCATGGCTTAAAAAGACCCAGAACGCTCAGCAGCCAGCAGGAGGAGGATGCAAATTTAGCAAACAAAAGTACAGTGGTGCCCCGCTTGACGACAACCCCGCTTGATGACAAAATCGCTTAACGATGAGTTTTGTGATCGCAAAGCGATGGTTCCTATAGGGGAAATCCGCTTTACTTCAGTTAGGTGCCTGCTTCGCGAACCATTTGTTCTCAAAACAATGTTTTCCCGGTTCCGCAAAATGGCTTCCCTTTGCAAAATGGCTTCCCTCCCTTTGCAAAATGGCTGTTTTCCGGAGCCCTGCTTCGGAAGACAGCAATTTTAAACAGCTGATCGGCGGTTCTCTATGGGCGATCTTCGCTGGACGATGAGGCATTTCCCCATTGGAACACATTAACCGGTTTTCAATGCATTCCAACTGAGGGTTTTTTTTCGCTTGACGATGATTTTACTTAACAGCGATTTTCCTGCCATGGCTTAAAAAGACCCAGAACGCTCAGCAGCCAGCAGGAGGAGGATGCAAATTTAGCAAACAAAAGTACAGTGGTGCCCCGCTTGACGACAACCCCGCTTGATGACAAAATCGCTTAACGATGAGTTTTGTGATCGCAAAGCGATGGTTCCTATAGGGGAAATCCGCTTTACTTCAGTTAGGTGCCTGCTTCGCGAACCATTTGTTCTCAAAACAATGTTTTCCCGGTTCCGCAAAATGGCTATCCTTTGCAAAATGGCTTCCCTCCCTTTGCAAAATGGCTGTTTTCCGGAGCCCTGCTTCGGAAGACAGCAATTTTAAACAGCTGATCGGCGGTTCTCTATGGGCGATCTTCGCTGGACGATGAGGCATTTCCCCATTGGAACACATTAACCGGTTTTCAATGCATTCCAACTGAGGGGTTTTTTTCGCTTGACGATGATTTTACTTAACAGCGATTTTCCTGGAACAGATTATCATCATCAAACAGGGCACCACTGTAGTAGTAATTGTATACTAATGGGTTTATGTCCTCCTCTTGCAGCCATCCAATAGCAAAGACTATTTATATGAGGGACCTCATTTCGTCCTGTACCATCTGAAAGACATTTTATGGAGTGTCCCTGGCTCCTTAATTTCGTTCACGTGCTGCATTTTCAGAAACTCTTTGACTATAAACAAAACAAGCCAATGCTCTCTCTCCCACCATAGCTGGAAGCAGAGACACAAAAATGCAAAAACAGACCAACTGCAATGGGTGTGTGGAGGTGGGGTAGGATGGCCAGAACCCCTCAACCATGTTATCTTCTGTCTCTTTTCTCACTCATTTCTCCTCCTCCAGATGGAGGAGTCCAACATGGACCCCCAAATCCTTCCAGGTTGGGAGATGCACCAGCATCACTCACCATATCTGAAAAGTGAGCAGCTGGCAGAACTCCTAGTTGCAATGCAAAATTCTCAAAAAGGAGTTGAAAAAGTTGATAGCCTAACTGAAGAGATTTCTAAAGCTAAGTGTGCTGCTCATATACCACCCCATAGTGCTTAAAGCACTCACTGGGTGGTTTACAATTTAATTATGCAGGTTACACATTCCTCCCATAACCCAGCAAGCTGGGTATTCAATTTACCAACCTTGGAAAAATGGAAGGCTGAGTGAACCTTGAGCTGGCTATCTGGAATTGAACCTGCGTCATGCATAAAGTTTTGGCTGCAGTACTGCAGTTTAACCACTACATCACAAACCTGTACAATCTCCCAACCATAATTATGTGTCCCCATCCTTGAGACAAAGTAAACCCATCATCATTATATTCATGTTCTTTGGCACTCACTCTGGCACAACTTGCTTGATCTGTGGCTTCACATATCCATCTACTGCCTTTGCTGTAAGACAAGAAAGGGAGGAAGCATAGAATTATTGCATAGGGGAATCCTCTGACTCCACAAACTCTGCACAGGCGTCCTGTGCTGCTGTTCTGTTCTCTCTGGGTCAAACCCCTTTAGCCAACAGAGGAAGCAAAGTTACATCATTTGCTACTACCCATTACACTAAAGATGGCTTGTATCTGTTTTGGATACATCCACAAATCTGTTCTTTCTTACCAATGCATTAATCTGCAAATCCTTTTTTTTTTGCATGCAAGTTCATATGTAAGTATCCTACTGCCTAAACATGAGAAGAAAGGCAGACATGCAAGCATCTTCTCTGCTCTACTGGGATCTACATCATGCGCCTGTTAATCACAGTGGTTGTGAGATAGGTTGGAGAACTGGTTGTGCTCCAAGAAGCCTGCTTTCAGTGTGTGCGTGCGTGCGTGTGTGTGTGTGTGTGTGTGTGTGTGTGTGTGTATACTTATTTTATTAATTCTGTGCTCTGTTTTTAGGCAGTAGCATACTGAATCAATTTTCTTACAAATCAAGCCTTTATAACTGCATCTATCCTACAGTATATACTGCTAAAGTCTATTTTGATAAATGCATTCTCTGCACAAAATTTCAAGAAATGCAAAACGGAAAGGACTGCTATGCTTTAATCTGCAGAGGAGGACAAGGATCCGGTCTATTTACTTTGGAATAAAGCAGACTATTTACTTTGGAATAAAGCAGACATCTCACCTGTTTCAAAACTTTTACATTTTCTTGAAACTTTGAGATTTGTTGAGAACAGTTTCTATTCAGATAATTAAAAATAACTTGTTCTCTCCCAGTAATAAAGAAAAACAAAGCCATAATTCTTTAAAGATAACATTTTCACTGGTGACTACGACTCTTTGGAACCTACACCATTCTAATCTAATGATATCCCATTTTTATTTTAGTTCTCTCTTTGACATCTTCATCAGGGCTCACCTTGGCTTTTTTAATTAATTAGCTAAACCATCTACAAAATGGCAGCATCATTTGCCAGATGATAATCTGGCTCTCAAATTCAATCATCAGTACAACAGCTGAAGCTAAACGTTAATCACTAAAATGGAATTCCAACAGTATTTTGCTTTATGTGTTGTCAGCAATGTAGTTCCTGCATCACTCCCTGTTCTTGGAGTAATTTCTGGTTTATTTTATATATTTTCTCTTACAGCTTAACATTATAATGTTCTCCATAAATTCTGAATGAAAAGGGTTGTACTTACAACATAAGTAGACAAATTAGGTGAATTTCAGATAAAAAAGAATTGTTGCTGAATGTAACTATTGCTTAGGTTCCTCCAACCAAAGTCTGTGGATGTAAGCTGACAGATAAACTGCACATGCCAAATGCTAAAAGATGTCAATGTACATTTAACCCAGAATTTGAAAATGGTATCTTTGGGAATTATAATTCCAAAAATTCGCTGCAGCCATGCTGGCTATGGAATTCTCAGTGTTGAATACAAAAAAAAAAGAGACAAAAAGAAAAAGAGAGAGAAAGAAAGAAAGAAAGAAAGAAAGAAAGAAAGAAAGAAAGAAAGAAAGAAAGAAAGAAAGAAAGAAAGAAAGAAAGAAAGAAAGAAAGAAAGAAAGAAAAGGTAATGTTTCCAAGCTCTGGAACAGAACAGACACAGCCAAAGCAAATATACTTTCTTGGTGCTTCAAACCTACCAAGGACAGGCATATAGTATTTAGAGAAGACCTCTTCCTTGGGCCTATCAGGATACACAAAATGGAGGTATGGGAGGTCCCCAAGACGGTCTGCCAGGGAACGGATGGAGAAGTCACGAGTGGTGAAGGGCATCAGGTTCCAGAACATTCTGTCAGCTATCAGAAAAAGAAGAAGGAGGAGGAGGAGAAGAGTATCATAACACAGCAATGAGAAACTAGCAACTCTGCAACCAGGTGCAACTATAGACAAATTTGTAAAGAAATTTAAAACTCCTGTAAATGTAAGTATTAAGGGTTACTTTACAATTACTACAAACAATACTGCTGGAGCAAAATGATGTAGTATATTTAGCTTCACAAATGGGAATATAAAGAAAGGGAAGAAAAACTGAAACTAGTCATTAAACTAATAATCTGAGCCAGAAGAGTTTAACAAATGCAGAGCACATAAAATGTAGTACAATAAATGTTAGATAACTTTCATCTAAGTCCTGCCTATTTACTCCCAGAACTCCTGGGAATTAGTATCTTATTTCTACATCATTTCATTTTCCTTAATTTTCTACACGGTTTCTGTTTAACTGAAGTAATGAATAAATGCCTTCATGCAGAGCTTTATAATTTATGACTGTACTACAGTGGGGTCTCTACTTAAGAACTTAATCCGTATTGGAAGGTGGTTCTCAAGTTGAAAAGTTCTTATGTTGAATCTGCATTTCCCATAGGAATGCATTGAAAACCATTTAATCCGTATCTGTTCTTTTCCGTCCATAGAAACTACAGTGGAACCTCTACTTAAGAACTTAATCCGTTTTGGAATGGTGTTCTTAAGTTGAAGCAAGATTTCCCATAGGAATGGACTGAAAATCAATTAATCCGTTCTGGCTGTTTTTTTGTTATGTAGAGGTGTGTTCGTACATTGAAGCATTAGTTCCCATAGGAACTAACGCAAAGCTGGTTAATATGTACTCTACCACTAGGGGGAGAATTTTTTTTAACCTAAGATGACCTAAGGTTAAAAAAAGAGCAGGAAAGGTTTTTTTTCCTGTTCTTATCTTGGATTTCTGTTCTCAAGTAGAAGCAAAATTTAGCAAATGGAGCTGTTCTTAAGTTGGATTGTTCTTAAGTAGAGACGTTCTTAAGTAGAGACCCCACTGTATAAGAAACATACAACATCCTTGCAAGTTAAGCAATGTTTTCAGGAAGGAGGCCCCAAACCTCAGCAACAACTAAGGAACAGCTTTGCTCTATTTATGTTAAAACATCTTCTAACTACAGCAATTTCTTTAAAAAATTCTGATCCCACGTACCCTGGGAAGTCAAGAGCAAAAATGGAACATTTGTTCTGATGGAAAAAGGAACTCACTGTTATCAAACTTCCAGGCAACTGTGATACCACCAATCTCCGAGTCACTGAATCTTAGAAGGAAGGTTCCATCAGGTTTGTTGATTAACAAATCGTGGGCTTGTTGCTTGTTGACAAAACCCAGAATAGCCCTGGAGGGGGTGTAGAAAAAAAGGAGAGAAGTCAGGGTACAAAGAATTAAGGGAGGGGAAGTAAACTAACTCAGCAATAAGGGGGCGTATCTCACCCGTCATTCCAGTGAGGCTTCAAGTGTTTTTTGAGGACCTCCATCACTCCATCAAACCACTGCCAGAATGTGTAATTTCTCCCTGGAAGGTTCTCCTAGTTAGTTGAAGAGAAGTGAATCTCACTTTGAGATCCTGCAAAATCAACTATGTATGTCCTTTGACCCTATGCTGAACAATTTACAAAAAAGCAAGGACTCACTAACCAAGAGTAATCAACTTTTTCCTTCTCACGTAGAATTCAATGAATGAACTTACTTGTAATGAAGTCCACAAGTAAGTTCATTAAGCATCCTTTAAGCAGAATTGTTTCTAGATCCCAACTGGCTAGCCACAGTGTTTTAATCTATGTTACAAACATATTTGTGCTGAAGAAGCTGTGTATCTGATTAAGGGAGAACTCAAATGCTGATACTGCAAACAAGAATTCCTGCTTCTGGAAGATTTATGATCAGCCAAAAATGTGTCTTTACAGACATATTGTCCACATGGTCACTTCTTCAAAAGCACATTTTAAAGAGCCTGGCTGAAAGGCAGCAGGTTCCAAGCATCTTGAGAGCCACTGCAGTGGATAAGCTCTGCAATTCGAAACCCAGAGTTTAAATCTCACTCCATAACCTTGCTAGGGCAGGCCAATATTTATGACTAGCCCTTTCATCTGTAAAATGTTGGGGAAGGCTGTTCTAGTGGCTGACCAATCCCTGACTGGTGCATCCTCTTACCCTGTTGAACTGAGCCCAGGAGACAAGCATGCTGTTGTAGTCTTCTAGGTGGCTGTTGTTACTGTTGAAAAGTTTCTGGGCCAGGAAGAGAAGATTCTCCTTGGTGAGTCCTCGGCTACTCTGGACTTCAGACTTGAACTTCATGTTGAGGGCTTCACAGAGTTGTGACCACGTCACCTTGTCAGGCACAGCAAATGGCACTCGGCCTGGCTCTGCAAAAGCATTGTCCCACAGCACTGTGGCAGTTGCATTGTTGTCCTGGCTGCCGTGCACAATCACGACCACAGGCAGAGATAACGTCTTCACCTGGAAGACCAGCTCATTACCACCTACACTGAACTGGGACTCAAAGAGGATTGTGAACTTCTCCTCAGTCACCGATTCAGCACCACGTCGATCTGAGCGCTTGATCCGCTTCAAAGACTGCAAAGGTGTGGGATGAGGAAGGAAGGAACAGAAAGGGGAAAAAAAGGAAGTATATGCTACATACATACAGAAACCTTTATTGGCATTACAGGAAGTATATGCTATAAAGGGCCTAGAAGCAAAATATAATACTTTGAAGGGAAGGAGGAGAAAACTTTATGCCTTATATCACTATACAGTGCAGTAGATTTGCAGACAAATTTAGTGTAATTTTGAGTAATTCTGGTGCAGATTTTGGCATTTTCATTACAGATTCTAGCACCTGAGGAAGACATGTAATATTTATTTATTTATTTATTTATTTATTTATTTATTTATTTACTTACTTACTTACTTACTTACTTACTACTTACTTACTTACTTACTTAGATTTATTTTATTAAATCTAATAAAATAAAATACTGATGAAAGGTACAGAAATTAAGATAAAGGGATGAAAGAAGAAATGCAAGATGCTTCCCTTGCAACTTTGTAAGTCATCAAAAGTTCTATCTAGCCCTGTATCTTTAGAAGATGATTCCTGACCACTATACATGGCTAAACCTTTTTTTTAAACCAATGAAGTAGTAAAGTGGTGCCCTGCATAGCAACGTTAATCCGTTTCGGATTAATCGTCGCTATGCAAAAACATCGCTAAACGGATCAAAAAACCCCATAGGAACGCATTAAACTTCGTTTAATGCGTTCCTATGGGGCCCCAAACTCACAGTTCAGCGAAGTTCCTCCATAGCGCCGCCATTTTCGCGCCCTCGGTAAGCGAGGGCATGGCAAGAAAATGGTTGCAGCGGCCATTTTGGGCGTCTGGCGGCCATTTTGGAACCGCCGATCAGCTGTTTAAAAAACATCGCAATGCGAAGATCTGTAAGCGAAACGCTTACCGATCATCGCAATGCTATGTTTTGCCATTGAAAACATCGCAATGCGATCGCATTAGCGATGTGAAAAAACAGATCGCTATGCAGATTCATCGTTAAACAGTGCGCTCATTAAGCGAGGCACCGCTGTATTAGAAACATGTCTTTTAGTAGGAAACGTAATAGCAGGATAGGGATCTGGAAGGAGAGTGGAAATTAACATAGGCATCTCTCTCACCATGTTGCGGAAATGAGCACTCAGGGTTCCAGTCGCCTGGTGATATTCCATTACACAGCAGTTGTTCAGTATATCACCACTGCTCTCACTGTCAAAACAAAGCAACTGCAGTTAGAAAAAACATGTTGGAGTACCAAAGGGAATATACTATTTCTATGTTTTGAACATGGGCTTTTCAGCAATGGGAGTTCATTTGGTGGAGACTCTGGTTCAGTTCTCATGCATAAACAGAAGCTCATTTTATTGACTAATACCATGCTAACTATTATAATAAAATGCACATACACAAACATATACATTATACATACATTTATAATACTGAATAGGATAAAAACTATGTTGTCAATTTTTCTTCTGTAATCCCTTAGAGTAACCTTGCTGTCATGACATTAAATGTTCACCAACATTTCAACTTCTCAAGAAAAAGCTTATTTGAACAAAACACACAAAGTGTTGTTGCTTTTTTCAGTTCTGCTAATGTCCTAATTTGCTTTTAGTTGGGCTTTTGAATGACAGTTGAGTATTTATGGATGTGCTAAATTGGGATTTTTTCAAAATTTATGCTGTGCAATTGGCAAAGGCCTTTGCACATACACAATAAAGGTATAGCAATCTGATTGTAACACTACACAAAAATTCTGCTTGACTTCTGCCAGGGGCTGTGACAGCAACAGTTGTTATGTGCTGGCAAGCTGGAACCGACTTATAGCAACCGAACCATTCTTTAAACATCTCACTTCCAAGGTAAGTGAGATGTTAAAGGAATGGTTTTACCAGTTCCAGACCCCCAGTGGGGATACACACCCAGGCCTTCTGAATCCTAGTCTGTCACTCTATCCACTACACACCATGCTGGGTATCCCAACTTGTGTTCTAGCCCAGTGTTTTTTTACTCCATAAGAGGGAATGTGAGTATGAGAGTTTAAACCTGTAAGTGCATTACAGTAGGTTCTGTTTTTCCTTTTAACAAGGCAAAAGCTCTGCATGACACTGCGTGTGTCTATCCTCTTTTTCAGTCTGCCAAATCACGCCACTTCCCTGCCACACATGGTATTTGTCAGCCCCACATACTTTCGGGTGCTCTCATTCTTCAACAAGGCTTTGGCCTGCTGCTCGCTGATGATGGTGGCCTTCACCTGTGGGGGGTTCATGTGCACATTCAGCTTTCCACCGACCAACAGCCGTACTGTGGCTGCAAATTTGGTCTGGGTCTTCAGCACCTGGGGAGGTTGCTTTTCAATGATGAAGGTGCTGAAGGGAGAGAGAGAGAGAAATAGAAAGAGACTTTATGTACAGAGGCAGAAGACAGTCAAGAAAATCCTTGATATAAATAATTCAGTTAATTAGCAAGCTCTCCTTTATGGCTATGAAAGGTGTTTAACTTTAGAGTGTGGGAACAGCAATGGGGACCACTACATAGGGGGAAAAAAAGGCTCACAGACAAGATTTTGTAAGTAAGTAAGTAGCTCGCACCACAAAAAGAAACCTCCTCTGATACCTTCCTGCTTTTTAACACATGGGTATGCTATGGGCAAAGCTATCTTACAGCTCTAAATAAACCACTAATGCCACGGCTCTTCCCAGAAGGCTCGCCTATCTGTCTGCAAACAATGCCTGGCCCACAATATCACCATAATTACCTTGTGACGAGGGCAGAAATAATGTCTGTGACAGTGGCATTGAGGTTGGCCAGCATTTCCTCAATGGGCCCTGGGATAGGTAACTGCTGGCACAGGTGTTCGGCACGACGCACTTGCTGGCGGTTCTGACAGATGATCTCAGCCAGCTTCTCACACCTTGGAGGGGAAAAAATTAATGGGTGGAAGTGGAAAGAAGAAAAGAAGCGACAGAAGAATGAGGCCAATCCAGGCAGCACTTCCTGAGCAGAAGCGTGAGTGAGGATAGGGACTCAAAATGTATTCACACTAAATTCTGCAGAGAATAACTAAGGCTGGGTTGAGTTTTCAATCCCCTATGTAGAAGTAGATTCGAGCATCTTGGCATGCAAAGCAGACAGTAATTCAGCCATATTGGGGATGTGATATATCAGTCTTTGGGAAGAATTGTCAGCACCTGGGCAATTCATATTCACCATCCAGAATAGCACAGGAGACTGCACTAATCCCTCGTTTGTCCACAGTCTTTTGTCTGCCCCAACTTACCAAGCCTGCAGGCCATCCAAAGGGCCCTCAGGGGGTCCGCCATTTCCTGCCAGCTGCTGTCGCCTTTTCCACTGAATCAGCTCATCATCTAGGATGATTGTCTGCTGCTTGCGGAGCAGTGCCAATGTTTCCTGGTGCTTTTCAGCAAGCTCCTGAGCAGGAGAAAGAAAAGGAGTGAAAATGCACACAGGCCCAATGAGCAGAAACAGAGTGCTGGGGAAAGATCAAAGCAAGGAAGAAGGGTTAGAATTGGAAATGGTTATACGTACCACACGGTACTGCTGCAGCGTCTGTGCTTCGCGGTGTAGCCAAGCTTCCAATGATGCCTTCTTCTGCTGCAAAGTGGGTTCCCGAGCCATGCGCTCCTGGGGGTTTAGCTGGGATAGCTGAGTAAGTTGGGCTAGGAAGAGATAAGAAAATTACCCACCTGACCCATCTTGGCCATTTCAAAATGAGGGGCCTCATTCTGATCCCTGTCTCCTCAGGTGCTTATCAGTGTCCTCAGAAAGATCACTTTGGGAACACAGGAATGTTTTACAAGTCACACTACCTAGTCCAGGATTTTCAACTCTATGCTGACTGGCAATAGTTTTACAAGATTTCCAAGAGAAGATTTTATATTCTCATCTAGTGGTGATGGGGACTTTCTGTATGTGCAAATCATGTGCTCTGCCAGTGAGCTACATATGACCCTTCCTCAGGTTCAGTCAACCCTGGTGTGCATGCCAGCCCGTAGGAGTGACATACTAGTTCTGCTTGCTTTCCAGTTGCATACCTTGTAAACGAAGGCTTTCTTGGTACTGGATGATGAAATATTCCTGCGTCTGTTGAAGCTTCTTCAGCTGGTTCTCAGTCTCCTGAGTGACCAAACGAAGTTCCTCAAAAGTCTGGTTGATCTGCAGGTGCTTCTGAGACAAGGCATCAGCCAGACTGCTAGCTGGGGATGGGCTCTGCAGACACAGGTGGCAAACAGGAAGAGAAAAAGTATCTGGATAACACTGTCCACATGCAGGAACAATGGACAAGCAACAGCCTTTGCCAGACCTACATATACCTACAGGTGGGACACAATTCATATAGAAGGTATCAGAGCCTGAAATATTACTTTTTAAGAATCATTTCTTCCTGGTAATACAACAATTAGCAAGTGACCCATTCTCATTACTCATTACAATGTAAAAAAGAGAAAGGGGAGTGAATGCATTATTCAATGCATCATTTGTTTCTATTTTGCTTTTAAACCTTAGATAAGAGAATGGCACAAATCTTGGAAAATTCCATTTAGAATCTCTCTTAAAATGCCTTTAAAGATATCTAGGAAAATGTAACTATAAACTTGTTTATCAGATACAACAAAATAAAAAAAGAAAGAAAGAAGATAAAGCTGTTGTGGCACCTTAAAAAGTAGCTACTACGTTTTAATGTGAGCTTTCATGGTCAAGTCCACTTTCAGTCTGAGACCTCCTGTAACAGCAGAGACTCACTTGTGTTCTGGGAAGCTGTCTAACAATGGCTAGATTTTATCTTAAAGGAAGCACCCCATAGCTCCTTTGTAACTGGTGATGCAAATGCCCAAGGCTGCAGTAAAATACTTTCTCCTGCCCAACATGTCCATCTTATGGCCATCTCTCTTATTCAGCATGGTGTTGTAGTGCCCCTTTGTCCTGGTCTGAGAGGCTTCCACAGTCTTCATCATCATCTTAGAACTGCAGAACTGGGACCTTATGGATCATCAAGACCAGCCCCTGCCAAGAGGCACAGTGGGAGACTGAACTCCAATCCTCTGGCTCCGCAGCCAGATACCTAAACCACTGAGCACTAAAGCAGCTCACAATATGATTGAATATGTTTGTGGATGCTTGAGGAGAAATGTAGCCTCTGTCATGGATTTTGTACAAGTGTTCCAGGCATCTCAAGGTGGGTGGCGAAGTAGATGGCATATCCTATGGTTCCTTCACCTGATCAAGCAAAGACAGCAACATACCAATGTGAACAGGAGAAGCAGCATCCTTATTTATCTCATCATAAACTGGATCAGATTTGGGTGGAGGTGACCTTTGAACCTCCAATTGAAGAGACTTTGTCACTGAAGCTAGTTTTTAGGGAACTCACAGGCAAAGGAAGGATAACAACAAGGGAGACAACAACAACAAAAAGCATGATTTTCAAGGTTTTTGACGTGTAAAATAAAAGGACAGCTCCAGTGAATGTTCCTAGAAATTTCCCCATCTGCAACTAAAAGAAACTAGGGATAACCACTAGTCGCAGGGACAAGTGCAGTAAAGAGACTATTCTAATAGTTCTCTCTTTAACCACTAGAATGTTCTGGCAAGTGTTGCGTAGGCACAAAAACATCCACATGTGTGATTCACAGAGATCACAAAGAAGAAATAATAACTTATTGCAGATAAATATGTTGCACACTGCTTCCTAGCTCTGAGCAGGATGCATATAACCTATCCTAAGGCTATATCTCACTTACATCTGTGGCCTCTCGTACCAGGCGCTGCTCATGGTAGAGGATGTGCCGGATGCAGCGCACCAGCTCCAAAGGACAGTGTTCATAGGTATTCTGTAGAGAAAGGGAGAACAATCACCCTAGGATTTTGCAGAAGAAAAAGTAGGAAACAGCTGTTAGTGATCCTACCACCCATCCACACAGAAAGAATCATGACTGCAGCAACTCTCAGAACCACCATACCCCAGAAACAGGAACCTACCTGCAACTGGGTGGCATAGTGACCCAGCTTGATCTTCAGAAGAAAGCCATCCTCGCCCATTTGGTGGTCTGCCTTCTTCTGTAACTCCTGGATCAGCCCCTCCAGCAACTGCGTGGCTTTGGCACTTTCCTGCGGGTTGTCCAGGTCGATAGAATCCCTACCATTTGTGGCACAGACCAGGAAAACATGTATAAATTTCCTGAAGTCAACTTCAACTTCCTTCCGTGTACCCCAGGAGTGGGCAATTAATTTCTATAGGGGGGCCACATGAAAAATCTGAACTGTGTTCGGGGGCTGAACCAACTTTACTTAAAAATAAAATGAAACAGTGATGTTATGATTGTTTTTATTTTAAACTTGTTAATCTTCACAAATACTAAAGAGGTTTTTTGTGGTATGTTAAAGATAAGCAACTGATCAACTTTAGACAAGAAGTTATAAATGGTTTTGATGTTCAAAACTGTCTGCGGGCCGGACAGGAGCGGCTCGCAGGCCGTATATGGCCCTAGGGTTGCACTTTGCTCAGGTCTGGTGTACCCTCTCCCAAAATGAGAGGTCAGAGGCAACAAAACTTGCCCACTTCTGGATTTTCAAGTGAAGGGGTATAGTGTTATATGGCAAGGCCATACTCTTGCATACCCTGTTAGTGAATCTGAAAGAATTATTATTCTATAGTTTCTTATGATCATTAAACTGAATTTAGAATTCCTGTATCATTAACAAGCAGGCACTTCAAGTGCACAAAAATTCAAAGAAGGACAGTTCTTGTATATAAAGACAACACTAAAGATTAAACTAGAGAATACGCTTAGTACATTTTTATAAAAAGCAATCCCTCAAGTGGTGAAAAATGTCTGGCGGACGTAATGTTTGATTTTAGTCAGCTATTTATTTCGTATTTAGCATGCTGTGCTTTGCAGTTGGTCATGGTAATATGAACATATTAGCAAAATTAAAGCACAAAAAGGATGGGGGAAAGAGAGGAAAATACTATGACACATTAAAGATTAAGATTGAAATCCAAAAATATTTTGCCTCTCTCTCTCTCTCTCTCTCTCTTTTTCTTCCTTAATCTTGCCAACATGTATAGACAGACTAACATGTCTACTTCTCTAAAAACAGGAAAATAAACATGGACTTAATTTGCACATCTGATTACTGAAGCAAAAAATCTTTGAGGAAGAAGTGAAAAACAGGTTAATATGAGGAAATATGCATTCACCTTAAAAGCTCAGTTTGACCCAAAATCTGGGTCTTTTTCCTGCTGGTTATTTTTCCTCTCACCTTCACAATGTTACACAATTACCACCCAGAGTGGCCTGGTTGCCAAATGGTGCGGGGTTGAAATCAAATAGATAAATAAATTAAAGGTGTGTACAACTGAATTCTGCTCCAAATGCATACATTGTTTTTTTTTTTGGGGGGGGGAGGGAAACTCAAAATACATGGTAATTACACTTCTACAACAAATCCATCATTCAAATAATAGTGCCTCTCACATAGTGCAATCAGTTAAACAATTAAAAAATGGTTTGTGGAATTATGAAAATATGGACTCGGGTAGCCTGGTTTGTTACTGCTGAAGAAAAGCCAGGATGTATATTTCTGGAATACTTGGGATCAACAAACTAGAATTCTAGGTTTTGACATCACAAAAAGCATCTATGCCTTTTTCATCCACTTGCACTAATGGAAGGAGCCAAGTAGGAGCAAGCGGGCTATGCAATACATTCAAGGTAAGGCAGGAATTCTTTCTCACTGTGCAAATGCAGAGAAGAGAAGCAGTATAAGATGTAGAAGCATGGGAACAAGGATTGTTGTTGGAAACCTTTTTCAGTTAGGCCACAGTCACATAAGGCAAATGTCCCCCTGGCGAGACAGATAAGGCTGAAGAAGGAAGAGGTGGGCTGAGAACGCCAGGATGGGAAGAAGGGGGCTTTTTTTGCTCAGGGTCTTGGTGTTGGAAATGGCAGCAACCTGCAGCATCCTGAGGCTGTTGGAGCAAGGCCACCTGCTCTCCCCGCCCGGCTTGTCCAGTCTCCTTCTCTCCTTGTGTCACCGGTGCCTTGGGCTCAGCCTTGCATGCCCCAAGCCTTGCCAGCAGCACTGGCAGCTCGGGATTGGAGACTACTGGCAGATCCCCACATCAACCTGCCATCACACCACCGCTGCCGGCAGGCCAGCCTATCCGTCCTTTCCCGGGGCTCACAGCGTCTTCAGGTTCCTGGTACCCAACCTGCTTGTGTGGCCAGCCAGCTCCCCTCTAACCCCTTTAGCAATGGCCAGCTCCCAAGCAGGAACTTGAAAGAGTTGATGCCAGATAACTAAGCTCTTCTGCCTTCAAGCCATACTTCCAGAGGGCCAATAAAGAAGGCATGGAGAAAAAGGCATTATTTATGACATACCCATACATTAGGCACCCCCTCTTTTCCTCTGATTTGATCAGTCAAACAAACCAATAGGGACATTCACACAAGCAACACCAGTAAGGAGTTTTTCTATACCTCATAGGTACAAAATAAAACAACCCTCCTGGGTAGGGGAAAATGTTCTACAGTTACACTGCTGGACAGGATTATACTTGCTAATGGCTGGAAACCTATGCAGCAATGTAACTGGGGAATAACTGGGGTATATTTAGCTCATGTGACCACAATCTTTAAGTACCTTTCTTGAGCTCCAACAGCTAGAATACAGTAAAAAATGGCAAAACAGAACTAATGGCAGTTATCTTTCAAGAAGGCACCAAACATTGACTCCTAGATACAATTACTGATGAACCCAAAAGTGAGTTTAGCAACCCCCAATCTTCCATGGGGCAATGAATAATCGGAAAAAAAGGTGGCTTGTTCCAGAACATCTGGGATTCACATGAAGCAAGCAGAACCAAGACAGCCTGCCTGTGATGACAAATGAAGGTCAAACTATATGTGATATGGTTTGCTGTATAATCCTAGACATAAAGGCTGAACTTTCCCTCCAAAAACTGCCAACATGGCCCCCCTGATTGGAACAAGGACTACAAGGAGTAGGGTAGAGGGAAAATTAACCCCTCACCCATCCCTAGATTTAACTCCAATCAGAACTGAGACAGGAGCTGCACCTAATGATTGACACTGCTAAGAAAGATCATGTTAATTTCAATAGTAACACTCTCCTTTTTTGGCAATTCAAACTGTTTTGAAAACCATTTTTATTTGTAAGCAGGTGAAGCTCCACACGATGCCAGAATTATGTGGTTAAGGTATCACAATACAGTGGTGCCTCGCTAGACGATGATGATCCGTTCCACTGAAATCGCTGTTTAGCGAAATCATGGGCTGGCGAAAAACATTTCCCCATTGGAATGCACTGAAACCTGTTTAATGTGTTCCAATGGAGGAGAATCGTCGTTGTCTAGTGAAGATCGGCCATAGGAAAGCTGCTTTGCGAACTGCCAATCAGCTGTTTAAATCGCTGTCTTGCAAAGCTTAGGTCCCGAAAACACCTGTTTTGCGAGCGCGGAGGGAGCTGTCAAAATCGCCATCTAATGAAAATCGGTTTGTGAAGCAGGGACCAAACATTGTCCAGCGAAATTCCCCCATAGGAATCACTGTTTTGCGAATTGCTATAGCGATCGCAAAAAGTCAATGTCTAGCAAAAAAACTGTCATGTGGGGTAACTGTCTAGCGAGGCACCACTGTACTGTAATGCAAAACAGGGGATCTGCTGCACCCACAAAGATCCAGTAACACTTCTCTTACAGTTCTTTGTAAGGCGGTCCTGGACAGCTAGGCCTCACGCTCACCTACCATGGTTGGCTCTCAATCCACTGTGAGAGGTAATGGCGAACCTCAATAGGAAAATGCTGGCCATACAGAGCTTGCATCTGCCGTAGGGCATCTCCTTGAAGCTGCTGGGCTTGGATCCACACTGCCATGGCTCAGGACCTGCTAAAGAAGGAACTTGTTAAAAGCAGACAACATCATGCTTTGGATCTCCAGATTCATGCAGTCTTCAGCAAGCACCATCTCAAACTCATGTTACTCTCCAATGGTTGGAGAGAATATATCTGATGCATTTTCCATGGGGGAAGCAGACATTATCACCTGCTTTCTTATTTGTGAAACAGGAATTTAAATGACTTTCCTCCCAACAGGCTTAGTAGGAGAGCTTTGGCAGCAAAGGACTCCTCTCTACAACAAGCTCAGGAAAAACATAATGTTTGGTTTGGCTTCCCAGAAGCCCCAGTGAGCTTGGCCAGTGAGCATGTTAGTTGGGGTTTCTGGGAGTTGTGGTCCAAAAAAAATAATAATGTTGGTCCAAGTTATGGTCCAAGAAGTTAGTCAATAAATTGAAAACTTAACATTACATTTATGTAAAGTTTGCTTAATGCTGCTACCTTCCTTAGAAAAGCAGCTTTCTGGAGGCCTGATTGAAACCACAGTATACAGCCGCTGATTACTGTTTAAAAAACAAACAAGCAGACAAGCATCCTGGATTCCATTTGTTTCCCAAGATGCCTTTTTATGGTTTGAGGGTCTGCATTTCAGGAGACCAGAATAGTGGCTTTCAGAAGGCTTGGGTCCCCACCTCTTGATCTAGACACCAGGTGTTTGCCATCATAGTACATCTAATAAGCCTGCCAAGAGAAAGATAATTTATAATTCCCATTTTCCATGGTCCAGAAAGTTTTCATGTTTTGTCTAAGAGCTGGGGGATAGAAGCTTACTAAGACTATAACAAAGGTGGAACAACTGGGGCTTTGCCCGAAGGCACCAAAATTGAGATGCACCAAAATCTGGAGGTATATCTCCTGGTGAATGTCAGGAAAATAAAAGGCAACACCTTCCAGTCCTATTTACTTTTCTTCTTCTTAATTTATTTTCCTTCTTTCTTTCTTTTAAATAACAAACTTTCTCTTTCTTTGCAGGTAGGAATACTACATTCTCCTCTTCTTCCTTTTTATACATTGTGTTGGGGTGGCTTGTAGCCCGTACTGTTTGTCCCACGGTCGAAAATGGCTTGTTAGGGCTCTGAAGCTTAGTGTTACAGTACAGTATATGGCCGGGGAATCTGCCCGATGGATCAGGAAGCAAAGCCAGGCTGTGCCTGAGAGGAGGTACCTGATGGGCACTAGGTGGAGCTGGCAGGAAAAAAAAACATTCCCGTGCGAAATCAAAAAGTAGCCTGCTCCTTTCTTTCTGATCTGTACTGTGAGATCCATAATCTAATAACCAAAGTAAAACTCTGGAATGTCAGATCAAACTCTAAGAACTAATGGTCAATTTTCATCCCGAGAGCCCAAAACATCCTTCCCAAATGGAAATAGCCCTCTGCTACAACTATTTACTGGAAAGAGGCTGTGATGACCCAGTGGTGAAATGCTGGCTGTAACTGTTCAGGTATGCTTTTTATGATTACAGAGCACTTTATCCACAAGAGTCCAGTAGCACATCTCCTAGTATATCAACAACACTAAAGATTATGATCCTGAACCTCCAGAAGGAAATGCTGCCCAAATAACAGTGAGATTCCTTTAAAATGCTATGAATGAGCTTATAGAAATGTCATAATTTAATACCAGTGTATTTTTAAGTTAGCAGCATCACTGAGGTTTATACAATTGCACCCAGCATGGAAAAACAACAGAGTAATCTATCTCGATAGCCCTAATTCAGGCACACACAGGAACCTTCATATTTTAGCAAGCTTTGAAAGAGAGTGGTGAGCTGCACGTCCACCATCACTTTGCTGACATGAAGTCTGAAGAGGAGAGATATCCTACTTGCACAAAGTCTGACTCTCCATGTGAAGAAGAATTCTGGAAAATCTTGAGAATTTCTTTGCATGGAGAATCTATCTGCAAGCAGAAATCTTTCTTCTTCAGATTTGTCAATGATTGTGTAATCTAAACCAGTGGTTCTTAACCTTTTTGAAAGAAACGCCCCCTTGAGCCATTGAGGAAGTTATCATCGCCCCCCTCCCTGCGGTGATGACATCTTTCTTTCT